AACCCTGAAGAGCTTTTTTGGTATAGCCAACGTCAGTCTGGTGCCGATATCTGCTGAGACTTCAAACCAAAGGGTCTGCTAACTAATACATTCTGATAGGTGCTCTGGTGCAGGCAATATTAGCACTTGACCTTCTCACTTCAGCTTGTCAATGTTTGATATTCCTTTGCTTTTGCCTTCCCACGGGAAGGGAGGCTGCGTTTTAATTTCCCACAATCCCTTTTATCCATGGATTTTGGCTTGCATTGCTAATCAAACATTTATATGTGGTTGCTGATTCCCGTCATCCACCCGGAACCCGCTGTCATTAACACAGAGAGTGGCAGATTTCTCTTTTCTGGTTGAATTTAAAAGTTCTTACTGCAGCCTCACTATGATGTTGCCCGATATCAGCATTTCAGTCTTGGTGACAGCCGGAAATGTGGAGTATCTTTTGTTCAATGTGCTGCTTTCTGGAAGCCTTCATTGTCGCTCTGAACCGTTGGTTCCCAGTTTGAATCCTCTGGATGTTTTGGAAACAGCCACAATAACACTTCTTAGCAAGAGGTAAAATTGGATATAGGATTAGAAAATGAGGAATAGAAATCTTTGCTGCTGTGACTACATAGCCCTTGATTTTAACCCTTATAGTTTAGTACTATTTACTTTCAAAGAAGAAAAAAAAAATTCATTACCTTAGTTTTCCAGTCTGTTATAGAATGATGTCACATCTTATTAATGCTTTTTTTAAAGAGTGTCTTCCTTTTTTACCTTTATCCTGCCAATGTGTAATAACTTGAAATGCCTTTTTTCAGTTACACATTTTAGTTACATAGTTAATTTTACATGGCTTGAAAAGCGTAAATAAATCCAAATGCTGCATTTAAATTGTCTTCCTGTTGGTATCATAGAATCAGTGGGCTGGAAGAAGTCATTTAAGCTATTTAATCCAACCATTTGACCAGTGCAGGAATGGCAGCCTAATCTCATCTTGGGTATATCTAAGTATACTTTCTTTTAAACAGATTCATTCTCATACTCCTCTTATCTTTGGGAACTAACATGCTGTCAGAATCAGCCTTTCCATAACTAAAATATATTCTTCTAAAATCTATCCTGATTTCTAAAATCCGTTCTTCTTTATCCTGTCTTCAAAAATCTATTTCTTCTATCTTCCTATCTTAAGAACAAAGAGAACTTAAAGAGAATGGGCTCATTTCAAATGTTTGCAGAGTACTGTCATATCTATCATCGGTAGTATTTTCTCAAGGCTAAAATCCCATTCCATCTTCATAGCCCCCAGGTTCTAGACCAGTGATGGCGAACCTTTTCGGCACTGAGTACCAAAAAGGGAGAGCATGTGCACGTACTTCACACACTTCTATGGGCCGCAACCCAGAAGAGGAGCTGCCCAGGGTGCATGTTCATGGCTAAAAATGAGCTTCCAGCTAGTCTTCTGGGTTTCTGCATGTGTGGCGCACATGCTCACGCAGGAAAATGGAAGACTAGCTCTTCTAGTTTCCAGCACTGCTGCATGCACAAACACCATCTGATCATCATGCGCGCATGCGCGCCAGAAACCTAGAAGAGGAATGGGTGATGCCGCACATGCCAGGTGACATGGCTCCATGTACTACTTTGGGCACATAGGTTTGCCATCATGGTTCTGGAGCCTAAATCTCCTCTTACTTTCTCTGAAGCCATGCCAATTGCTGAATGCAATTCTCAGCATGGAGTTTGACCAAACTAGAATAAAGTGGAACTATCTTTTTTTCAGATTTTGAGATTACACCTCTGTTGATTGAGATCTAAAATTATCCCTTAATTGTTTCATATTTAATTTGCAACCAACTACTAAGGTGGCGTAGTGGTTACAATGCAGTAAGGTAAAGGTTCCCCTCGCACATATTTGCTAGTCGTTCCCGACTCCTGGGGGGCGATGCTCATCTCCATTTCAAAGCCGAAGAGCAAGTGCTGTCCGAAAACATCTCCATGGTCATGTGGCCAGCATTACTAAACGCCAAAGGGACACGGAACGCTGTTACCTTCCCACTAAAGGTGGTTTCTATTTTTTCTACTTGCATTTTTACATGCTTTAAAACTGCTAGGTTGGCAGAAGCTGGGACAAGTAATGAGAGCTCACTCCATTACGCGGTGCGAGAGATTCGAACCACCGAACTGCCAACCTTTCTGATCAACAAGCTCAGCGTCTTAGCCACTGAACCATTAGAATGCAGTACTGCAGGCTAATTCTGCTGACTGCCAGCTGACTGCAAATTGGAAGTTCAAATCTCACCAGACTCAAGGTTGACTTAGCCTTCCATCCTTCCGAGGTGGCTAAAATGAGGACCCAGATTGTTGAGGGCAATAGGCTGACTCTGTAAACAGCTTAGAGAGGTCTGTAAAGCACTGTGAAGTGGTATATAAGTCTAAGTGCTATTGCTACAAGTAGAAGACCTTGCTATTACCAAGCCAAATTACTGTTACCCACATTTGTCTTTCGTTCCACAAGTGTCTGTCTGACTTAACTAAATTTCATTCAAATACCTTCCATGCATTTTTCTAACCTAATAAGGTAGTTTTGAATATTGTTTTCTGTTTGCTACCCCACCCAGTTTAATATCTGCAAATTTGAAACGCATTCCCTGCACTTCTTTATCAAAGCCTTCTCCTCCTCCTCTTCCCATGTCGCTAGCCTTCCAGTATTACCTTTATTTCCATGAATGGGCTTGGCCCTAAATAATTTCTTTGAAAATAAAAATTATGAATGGCTTCAGCCTGATGCTTTCCAATTTCCTGGTAAAAAGACAAAGCTAAGCAGGGAATTTGGAGTTTTTTGAAGGAAGGAATAAAATTAGAAGAAGTTGCATTTTGTTAAGGCAGCATTTGTAAACTGATTATTCATTTTATGGTAGTCATCTTGCAAATAGGGAAGCTTCCCTGTATCAATCATTTTCAGTCATTTTGCCAGGGTGCAGAGAATAAAACAGTCACAAGGATGATGCAATAGTTTTAAATAGTCTTTCCCCATTTTTAAAAAAATAGGATCTATTTTAATACTATTGTAAAATAAGAGAACAGAGCTATAACAGTAAAACAAATAAGCCTGTTTTTTTTCCAGGCTGTGTCCAATTAATTTTGTTTTTTTAATCTAAGCAAATGGTAGTTTCCCTAAGTTTCAATTAGGCTAATATCTTTGACCTAGTTGGTTTCAGTTTCATAAAGACCTTTCCAAATAATTCATGATCTGTTCCATTTATCTGCCTAATGTTTCTTTGAGGAAAATCATCTAGCCTTTTTAATATTATTTTATATAGACAAAGTGCAGTAACACAATCAAGAACACAGTTGTACTTCACAGATGTCTGCAGCAAACTGAGATTTTATTGTACGAAATGATGTGATAAAAGCTCTAGCTCTGGTGTGTGTGCATGCAGTGTCACAAAGCAAGTATTAAAAGGGAGGAGATTGTATCATGGCATTGCAATGTGCATTTATTCACTCTGTGGCAGATGCCTGTTTTTTAAAGTAGCATATTACTACATGATGTGTTTCCTAATACATGTACCTCAATAATTCTTATGTTATATTTCCTTTGTAAAGCTTTTAAATGTTATATATATTTGCCACACTACAGTCTTAAGATATAACTCCTATTATTTTGTTCTTTTGTCAGTATCACAGACTTGCTTATAAGTTTATATCCAATGACTGACATTTATTTCTGTTGAAGTACAGGTAGTCCTCAACTTACAACAGTTTGTTTAGTAACCATTCAACGGCACTGAAAAAAGTGAATTATGACCATTGCAGCATCCCCATGGTTACGTGATTTACATTTGGATGCTTGATGCCTGATTCATATTTATGTCTCAGAGTTTGCTACCTTCCAACAAGTAAAGTCGATGGGGAAGCCAGTTTCACTTAACAACCGTGTTACTAATTTAAAAATTCAAGTGAAACACTTAACAAACATAGAGAGAAAAGTCGTAAAATGGGGCAAAACTCACTTAACAATGTTCTCACTTAACAACATAAATTCTGGGGTCAATTGCGGTCATAAGTCAAGGACTACCTGTATTTATTTCTATTAAAGTTCTGCATTTAGAAGTACATTTCAGGTCTACTTCAGCCTAAATATCATAGAATTCCAGGGATGCTTATTTCCATGTAAGTCTGTGTTTCAGTGCAGTGTCCAAATACATTGTTCTGGGCCGGGAAGTTCCTAATTCAACTTTCATCTCCTACAAACTCTCAAGATGTAGTTAGGCAAGCCACTAACCTCAGGCCTCCTCCATTAGCCCCACTGAGTAATTGCAGCTCTACTTTTCAGATTTTATATAAGATAACTGAGATAATCTTCGCAAGCCCTATTTTAGGGTTTTAAGCATAGTTATATCATAATTCTGTTAGCTTCTGCTATCTGAACCAGTGTAATAAGATGTGAGCGGCTCACGTGTCATTTTTAAGGGGGTGGAATATGTGATTTGAATGTAAAAATCCACAACCAACTTGCCCTTGAAATTGGAGACCTACAGTAATGTTGAGAATTTCAACCACAGTTTCCTGTAATGCTAAGCGCCAGTAATTTCTAAAATACCAGAAAACGATAAGTTGAATATTCTTGTTTTACAAAGATTTTATCCTGTCCCCTTTTTCTGCAGGCAGCTTATACTATTAAACCAGTGTTTAATAATAGCCTTCAACATTTCTTAAAAATCCATCCCTCTCATTCAGCATTGCGGAGAAGAAAAAAACCAGCTAAGTGGGTTGAGTAAAAAGCCTATAATGCAATTGTCTTTCCAGAGAGAGAGAGAGAGATTTCTTGAATTCTTTGTGGTAACGAAGAATTAAAATGCTGATCAACAATTCTGCAGAGAGCTGGCTCAACTATGCAGGGTGCAGAAATCATGATGTAATCTTCCTTTTTATTTTTTTTATTTTTATTTTATTTTTGCAAGCACTGTAATAACTCACTTTGGCCCTCTATCTCTCCCTTATTGTTTGTTGCTTCTATTTTAGGGTGTGAACGGAATGTCTGTGGATGAGAAGACTGAATCCCCCATGTATGTGTATGAGTCAACAGTCCATTGTACCAATATCCTCCTATGCCTCAATGACCAACGGAAGCAGGATATTCTCTGTGACGTGACTTTGATTGTGGAGGGCAAAGAATTCCGAGCCCACCGAGCTGTGCTGGCTGCATGCAGCGAATACTTCTTGCAGGTGTTAGTCGGGCAGACAGAAAATGACCTGGTTGTCAGTCTGCCAGAAGAGGTATAGTATGCCATTTGTTCACTAGTCACTTTAAAAGCAGCCTTTCTTGCTGGGTAGCTAGGAGAGAAAACAAGCTCCTCTCTTTTGTGCCCAACTGCTCAATCATATAAAACCTAAAGGTTTTTAAATATAATTCTTAAAGCTCTGCATGTTGCTCAAATCAGACTCTGCTGGAGGGTGTGTTAATCCTGAGAAGGAGAGTGGGATGCGATGCTGAAACAAGCACCCTCGGGTCTCCAGGGTTAGAGAGCAAAAGCAAAGGAAACAGCCTGCCAGGAGCAAGGAAACATCAAACAAGAAGGAAGGAAGAGGGAAAGCAGGAAGAGGGCCAAGCAGCACAATGGATGGAGTGAATCCTTCGTCCAGCGCTTTAAAAAAATGTAAAAACATGAACACCCTAAGCCAAATTGCTGTGTGCTTTAGTGAAGAAAGCATCTCAAAGCTAAACCAGAAGCAGGATGATTAATTCTGCTTCACTAGTTCAGTTTTCCTTTGAAAGACCTCGGTGAGACTTTCAACACACAAAACAGCCTCCATTTTTACCCTACCAAAGTGCAGGGATCCCTTGGGATGTTTTTGTACCTGGGTGCATTGCTAAAGGAAAGAGGTGGCTTGCTAAGATTTGGAGTTGAAATTGACTATTGTGCAGGTGGGTTGACCGTCAAATGCGCACTGGACAAAAGTGCGCCGACAAAACCGTGGGGAAAAAACCCGCGAGTTCGAAATCACAATGACGAATGAGCACAGAAGCGCGCCGACAACAGTGTGCCGACAGAAGCGCACTCTAAACCTAACCGTAAAGGTAACCCTAAACCTTACCCTTACCCTAACCCTTACCTTAACTGTAATCACGCTTCTGTCACCTTTGTGGGCGCGCTGTCGACGTCGCAGTTTTGTCAGCGCGCTGTCGTCAGGCGCGCATTTGTCGGGTCACGGTGCAGTTGTAATTTTCCCAGTGCTTTATAAATTCTGCCTTGAAAAATAATTTCCCAGATTGGACAAGTGGAATTAGGGGAAAGGGGAAACATTTAATACAAAACATCAAAGAGAACAGTGCACACAGCAAATATTTTTCCAAGTTCAGTACTCTGTCAAGGGAAAGAGTTTGCAAGCCCAGATTTGTCAGGTTAAGAGAGGGTCACTGGGACACTTTTGCTTGGCTATACATAATTGCATAATACTTGAAAATATTTGAAAGAATGCTTGCTTAAGCTTCTTTGCCTGAAAAGTACATAATGTAAGGTGTCTTTTATATTCTTCCCAATAGGCTTAATGTGTTGACAGATTCAATAATTAAATAGGCCAGGCACACTAAAGATCAGCATGTTATCAAACCCCCAATTAATTAAAAATATTTCTATGACATGAAATACATTGCATCTGATTTCTAAAATTGCAATCTTAATAGGGTGTAACCATATATGTAAATTATGTAAATTTAGTATTATGCATTTGTTCATTTTTATCCAATAATGTACTTTACGTGGAAAAATATATTATGCAATTTGTGTCAGCACAGTCAATTGATACCAAAGGCCTGGAAACACAGCAGGATTTCTTTGCAGAAAAAACGCCTAAAGATTCTCCTACCATAACTCCTTTCTACCCTCATTCATGCATTTGCCATAGTATTTTGTAGTTTTTCTAGTTGTTCACCCTGACTCTGACCTAGTTCTCTACCTGCAATAGCTATTATGTTACTATGGGGTCACTTCTTGTCCAATCTGTTGCCCAAAGTCAAAAAGGTCCCCTCTAAGGCTAGAATCAAAGTGGAACATGTTAAGTCATACCAAAACAGGTGAGAGATACTCACTCCAGTTTCCCTAATTACATTTTCTGGATTTTGGCAATATGACCTGGAATAAGAAGGTTGTAATTATTCTATACTTGCTAGTAGTGAAAGTGTAGCCATTTCTCTTTAGAAGACCTAGAAAAGAGGAAATTCAGCAAGGTTTCCAGTGAATTGAGTCTGGAGCATATATAGATAATGTTGGTCTTTTCGGTTTGTTTTTTTTTATTGATAACTCCTTGTTCCTTGTTGTTATTCAGTTAATAATTCCTCTGCTTGGCCTTTTATGATAATTATGGTTAGGAAGTCCTTTTAATTTTTGGTGACTTCAAAATATTTTGATCAGAGCTCCTTTCAATTTTAGACAATAAAACTGGATTTGTGAGATTTGTACCTTTTCATATCCCTTTGTCACTTTAAACAAATCACAAAGTGCTCATCAGAAGTATCACTACTAGCAAAGTTGTGTCTCCTTTAAGTTGATAAAGGTGATCTCAGTCAGATTTAACTCCTTGCCATTTCTTGACAAGATTTATTGTTTTAGCTGCAGAATAAAACTGAAGGTCATAAGATTATTGTAATACAAAAGTGATAAGAAATATTAAATGCATTAATCCTTTAGGACATGCAGTAAATTAACATTTTATGCTAGTCTTGCTAGTTGGATGCAGACCCAATTAGGCATATAAAATGCAATTATTCTATAGAGCCCTATTTAATTCTATGGGAGTTACAAGGTAGATAAGATTGCAATCTAAGTCTCTTATAAAACCCTAATCTTGTATATTAAAAATACATGATATGCATCTTGGTCTGTTTCCTTTTCCTTTAAAAAATAGACTCATGATTTTACAGTACATGGAAAAGGAGGAATGATTTTCTAAATGCATGCTGAAATTGGGCCCTGTTAAATTCAAATCAGTCATTTTCTAAGAAGGATTAAAATTATAGTCTTGGTTTGATCTCTGTTCCTTTTCATTTTTCTATATTTATGTGTGGAACCCATTCCTTTTGGCAAGACATTCTAATTAATCTTTTCATTCATGATAAGAATTAAAATAGCAATTGGGAATATTTTTCACTTCCCATCTAGATTACCAGAGAGGGGAAAAAATGTGATAGAAAGACATGCATGGCTGTATGCCAAGGATATAGTAGGTCATGCCAATATTAGTTGGCAGCCAGCCATTATCTAATTAACGTGGCTTCATCGCTATAAGTAATAATTCTTAGGAAATGATTGAGTCATTTGCAGTGCAATGGTACTTTTACTTTAGAAATAATCAGTACTGTTTATAGTGGTGTCTGAGTCATTGGATTGCCTTCCCTTTGCCAATTAAAGCAAAGCTGCATTAGTCATAGTGAGTTGAAAGCTGAGAGGAAGGAGATAACACTGGGTTCATTTTCGCCTGCTCTTGACAGAGTCAGACAAAAGGAATTAGCTCTGTTGCAAGTAATAGTCTTGGGTCATTCAGGTACAAGCTAATAAACCACTGTCCACATAAAAGTGGTTCATTAGCAAAGGAGCAGAAATGAAGTGCTCTCAGGCTGAAAGAAGGCAAGCATTCTTGTCTTCAGAAGGTGAAGAAGAAACGACCTGCTAATTAATTAGAGGACTATGGTTACCAAGCACAGTTCTAGAAGGGAATTATGATGCCTAAGAACGAAGTGACATAAGTCATCCCAAGATGTTACCATTTGTTTATATAAAATAGCACTAGCACTTAGACTTATAAACTGCTTCATAGTGCTTTACAGTTCTCTCTAAGCGGTTTACAGAGTCAGCATATTGCCTCAACAATCTCTGCCTTCCTTGTACCATTGGAAGGATGGAAGGCTGAATCAACCTTGAGCCAGTAAGAACTGGCAGTCAGCAGAATTAGCCTGCAATACTGCATTCTAGCCACTGTGCTCTTCTTTATGCTTTACATTATAGCCTACCACATGCTGGGGAACCCTTCCTCATGTCTATTTCAAAAGTTGCACCCATCTCAACCCAAAAGACCAGCTGCTTGACAATCCCTTTCTCTCCCAATTTGCCCCTGTGTCAAGACAAAGCACTATTGTATACTTACCTCCCATGTTGACTTTTATTGCAAAATAATGCAGATTAGAGCCACAGATGGTAAGGTTGACCAGGTGTTGGGGGAGAAGATCCAGATTGCATTTAAGGCAAGTGTAGGATGACAAGAAAGCCAAATAATTGTTCGCATATTAAAGCTTGATCTTGTTGGTGAATTAATATTGCTGTTAAGTGTCAATGCTGCTATTAAGGACTAACTAATAATCTATAGCCCAAGTGATAGATGGGTCAGGGTTTTGGCTCGGGTTTCATTGTTGTCCAGCATTTTTTATAAAAAGTTTAGGTAGAGAAATTGAAGGGATACTCCTGAAGTTTTAGGGATTTTTTCATGTGCACGTACAAGTAACCCTTGACTTAGAATAATTCATTTAGTGCAAGGGTGTCAACCTCAAGGCCCGTGGGGTGCTTAGATCTGGCCCACAGGGCCGCCCTGGAAATAGCAAAGGACTGACCCACAGTGCCTCTGCCAAAGAAAATGTAGCTCGGGAGGGCCACAGGGGGCCCTCCCAAACTCTGTTTTCACTGGCAGAGGGTTGCAAGAGGCTGTCGCAGTCAAAAACAGAGCTTAGGAGCCTGTTTTTGCTTGCAGAACACTCGGGCCATCACAGGCACCCCCAGCACGACTGACGTAGAGCTGGCGCACCCACCTCATCAAGTCAAACACAACCCTGATACGGCCCTTAATGAAATAGAGTTTGACGCCGCTGATTTAGTGGCTGTTTAAAGTTCAACGGCACTGAAAAACTGACTTATGACTGTTTTTCATACTTGTAGCTGTTGCAGTATCCCCATGGTCATATGATCAGAATTCAATTGCTTGGCAACTGCATCCTATTTAGGGACATGCAGTCACTAGAGGCAGGGAAGGCGTGGCCTCACCAGTCATGAGGAAAAAGAAAGAATTTTAAAGAATTTTTTTAAAATAATTAAAGCCAAGGTAGTTGCTACCAGATTCACAGTGACTTGGAACAGTGCTTAGTGTTAACTATAGGAGGAGGCCAGAGAAATAGGGACCTCCTGTGCATAAGCAATTTTTCACCTTTTAAGAGTTAAGCAAGGGTTAACAAGCAAAAAATTTTGTATGCAAAGGAGGCACATGTTCTCTCGCCTCCTGTAGAGGGCATTTTT